AAGATATATATATATATATATATATATATATATATATATATATATATATTCCAAATATATAAATTACTTTTTCAGGATGACATGGAAGATTTACCCTTTCCTAGTCAAGAGATTGATTTTTCTCTGCCAGAGATAGAATTTGTTGGGAAACCTCGGAAGAAGGAAGAACTAGACATAAAACTAAAAGATCAGAGAGACGAATATAAAGAAATAAAGAAAGAAAAGGATATCGAAGAAAGTTTTAAAAAGGACAGCGTGCTTCGTGACACTAAAGCTTGCTGGGATATAGACAAGAAGAAGGAAGACGTAAAGAAATATACAAAGGATATAGAAATAAAGAAAGATAANTATATATATATATATATATACATATACCAAATATATAAATTACTTTTTCAGGACGACATGGAAGATTTACCATTTCCTAGTCAAGAGATTGATTTTTCTCTGCCAGAGATAGAATTTGTTGCGAAACCTCGGAAGAAGGAAGAACTAGACATAAAACTAAAAGATCAGAGAGATAAATATAAAGAAATAAAGAAAGAAAAGGATATCAAAGAAAGTTTTAAAAAAGACAGCATGCTTCGTGACATTAAAGCTTGCAAGGATATAGACAAGAAGAAGGAAGACANGGAAGATTTACCATTTCCTAGTCAAGAGATTGATTTTTCTCTGCCAGAGATAGAATTTGTTGCGAAACCTCGGAAGAAGGAAGAACTAGACATAAAACTAAAAGATCAGAGAGACGAATATAAAGAAATAAAGAAAGAAAAGGATATCGAAGAAAGTTTTAAAAAGGACAGCGTGCTTCGTGACACTAAAGCTTGCTGGGATATAGACAAGAAGAAGGAAGACGTAAAGAAATATACAAAGGATATAGAAATAAAGAAAGATAAATTTAAAGATGTAAAAGATACAAGGAAAGAACACAAATCTTCAAAAGGTCGTTCAAAAGGCAAAGATGATATGGAAGAATGTGGTATATTGACATACTTTTATCTCACTTATTTTATATTTCATCTTAATTGATAAATTATGAATCATCTATTTCTTTTCAGTGAATATAAGAAAAGAACGTAAGGATTCCGAGTCTGGCCGTGAACTTTTAAAGAGAATCCCCAAAAGACCAACTAGGCAAAGCATGGAATGTTCGTCTAAAGCTTCTTCCAGTCCTCGTGACACACCACCACCAAAACGAAGAAGAATATAATAAAGAAATATTATTCTTAGTCACAATGAATATATTTTGCATAATTTAACATATAGAGTATCACTTTTTTATGATTTAAAAAAAATACCAAGGAAAGTTTGTCAGAGTATATAATGGATGTAACATAGATGTAGTGTTTTTTTTTACATTAGTTTTTAAAAAAATATTCAATGTAAAAATATATAATTCATTTTTGACGCATGCTATAAGGAATGAAATATCTTCATAATCTTAGATTTCAAGTTAAGATTAAATCAGTTCAGTTGTAGCTTTGATGTAGCTAAATGAATTTTTAACTCATTTTTCTCTGAAGTTAGAATATATGTTCTTTAAATGGAAAATTTAAACTGGTAGCGAGATACTTCTGAATTACTCATGTAATCTATATTTCATATAAAATAACATTCAGATTGNCGCGCGCGCGCGCGCGTACATAATGGGTGTAACATAGATGTAGTGTTTTTTTTACATTAGTTTTTAAAAAAATATTCAATGTAAAAATATATAATTCATTTTTGACGCGTGCTATAAGGAATGAAATATCTTCATAACCATAGATTTCAAGTTAAGATCGGCTCAGTTGTAGCTTTGATGTAGTTAAGTGAATTTTTAACTCATTTTTCTCTGAAGTTAGAATATATGTTCTTTAAATGGAAAATTTAAACTGGTAGCGAGATACTTCTGAATTACTCATGTAATCTATATTTTATATAAAATAATATTCAGATTGAGGTAAAATAACATAAACAAGCAAGATTATGTAAAATATTCATCAGTTTTACGCTCTATTATTAGTTTTAATTGTGGCAGGGAGAATTGAATGAAAACATGAGACTTATGGTTACCAGCCAAAATTTATTGAAATAGTGACATTCATGAAACAGGAATGTTTCAAATGGACTGCAGTCTTATTTTGTGGGTTCTTCTCGAAAAATGTATTGATATATGTGTTGTTATNATTTAAACTGGTAGTGAGATACTTCTGAATTACTCATGTAATCTATATTTCATATAAAATAACATTCAGATTGAGGTAAAATAACATAAACAAGCAAGATTATGTAAAATATTCATCAGTTTTACGCTCTATTATTAGTTTTAATTTCGGCAGGGAGAATTTAAGGAAAACATGAGAGACTTATGGTTACCAGCTAAAATTTATTGAAATAGTGACATTCATGAAACAGGAATGTCTCAAATGGACTGCAGTCTTATTTCGTGGGTTCTTCTCGAAAAATCTATTGATGTATGTGTTGATACATAGATATTTATGAACAATTAAACATTGCCCATACGCCATCTTTGAGAAGCACGTGTGCCGAAATGTGCATCACCCACGATCGATGTAATCCATGTATTTCGCTCAGTGAACTTCTGGTTGTGAACCATGTATGTCGCTTGGTAAACTCCTGGAAAGCGGCAGAATCCGGATCCTGGCTGGCAACGATTTTATCCGCGTCGATCAAAACTGTCGTTCCGATTATCGCAGTCTTCTTGCTTCGCGCTCAGATTCGAGTAGGGTTAGGAGATCACCCTCGCGAACCGGGCCTTTCACGTTCCTGATGATTTGTCGATTCTGTTCACCCAGGAACTCCACCTTTACTTGTGTGCATTGTCCTTGTGAACCTGTGCGTCCCAGGACCTTGATGACACGTGCCAAAACTACTGGCTTATCCATTTTGTTTTTCACGTGGTGGGATACAACAAACGACGAATGTCTCTCANCGACGAATGTCTCTCGCAAGTGAACGGGCAGAAGGAATTGTGAGAAATTGCTCACTGTTGGAGTCGAACATGACAACTAGCGACAACTAGTGATTATTTTAGATGAAAGTGCGGCCTAAATTATCGCAACCTGATGGCTTCTGCCCATAGGGCGCGACAACGCCTGCCACGGGGCAAAAAGTGACGCAGTAACCAATTAACGTGCCGTTTTTCCACAAGAATTAAAAGTTTATTGACTGCCGCGTCGCTGCTTGCTACGCAGTAGTATTTCCGCGTCCTGTGAAAAGAAGCCATAAAAGAGAATTTACACCTCACAGAAAAGCAGAAAGCAGAAAAACAGCAGCCAATCAGAACTCGTGCTAGTAGTAAACAGTAGATAAAGCAGAAACTGTTGACTACCAGTGCGAGTTCTGATTGGTTGCTGCTACTTAGCTTTCTGCTTTTCTGTCAAATTCTCCTTTAAAGTGAATAGCAGCGACAAAATTCCAGTGACAAAGTGCTATGATCGATATGCATGGATTGATATCATAGATTTTTATGTATTACTAAATCGCTAACCCCCTTTTATTGTATCGAAACTTGGACTCCGAAAAATATGTATTGCATATTACTTGTTAAGTAGAAAAGAAAAGAAGTAGTGATAAATAAATGTAATATGGCCGATACCTACAACCAATTAGACGTGAATGTCATTCTATTTATTAACGATTACATATTTTTCGGAGTCATGTCCTTCGTAGGAGTTAATGATCGAGTAGTATATAAAAATCTGTGTTCATAAGCCGCTATTAATAATCAGATCTTATATTTAAAAGTGTCTCAAATTCATTTTCTGATGCTATATCGCTTATTTCATTGGTTACGAAACATCTCAAGATGAACTTACACAGTCTTAAATATAACGGCTTCTGTCCATAGGATGCGACAACGCTTGCCGCGCGGCAAGAAGCGACGCGGTAGCCAATTAACGTGCCGTTTTTCTATGAGAACTAAAAGCTTATTGGCTGCCGCGTCGTTAGNTGTCTTAAATTCATTTTCTGATGCTATATCGCTTATTTCATTGGTTACAAAACATCTCAAGATGAACTTACCAACAGTCTTAAATATAACGGCTTCTGTACATAGGATGCGACACGCTCGCCGCGCGGCAAGAAGCGACGCGGTAGCCAATTAACGTGCCGTTTTTCTATGAGAACTAGGAACTTATTGGCTGCCGCATCGTTATCATTTCCTGCGGGCAGAAACCATAAGATCCGGTTATGAATACTAGCCATAGTCAGATCTTATATTTAAGATCGTCTTAAGTTTATCTTCAGATGCTTCGTAGCTAATGAAATAAGCCGTAGAATATTTTAAAATAAATTTAAAACGGTCTAATGGCTTCTGTCTACAAGATGCGCAAATGCTTGCTGCGCGGCAGAAATTCGCCCTGTAGCTAATAAACTTCTAATTCTTACAGTATACAGNCACAAGATGCGCAAATGCTTGCTGCGCGGCAGAAATTCGCGCTATAGCTAATAAACTTCTAATTCTTACAGTATGTAAAAAAACGTTATGTTGATTGACTACCGCGCAAAGTTCCGCCGCGCGGCAAGCGTTGCCATGTCCTGTGGGCAGAAGCCATTAGGATGAAATTACACAGTGTGTAATAGAACTGCGGAATAGAGAGTGCGTCATAGAAGCGATCCATCAGCGTCGCTTTTTTCTATCACGCAAGTTTTGTATGCTGATTGGTCTCTTCTATAACGCATTCTATTCTGCAGTTCTATTATGTCCTTATCAAACTATGGATTGGAGATCGAGATTGGATTAAAATTTAATCAATCAGAGCAAAGTCTGCTAAACTCAAGTTTAATGAAACTTGCACTGATTGGCCAAATTCAATTTATTCACAATCCCTAATTCATAGTCTGATACGGGCTTTACGCACCGTGTAATTTTACTCTTACCGTGTCCTATGGGCAGAAGCCATTAAATGTAAGACCTGACTATGAATATCAGCTTATGNTGGCCAAATTGAATTTATTCACAGTCCCTAAGTCATAGTCTGATACGGGCTTTACGCACCGTGTAATTTTACTCTTACCTATGTGTCCTATAGGCAGAAGCCATTAAATATAAGACCTGACTATGAATATCAGCTTATATAGCTTTGTATTTACGACTATGACTATATAACTATGGACCACTGGCAGTTTATTTTTCTCCGCAATAAATGTTTGTCAACATCTGCAGCGCCGCCAATATTAAACACTGCCATTATCTAAACTATTATTGTATTTTTCATTTCTGTTTTACCATTAAAACAATGCTTAGTTGCGATAAAAAATTTATAAGGAAATAAAAACATAAAGAACATACAAAACGATGTTTGGTTGCGATAAAAAATTTATAAGGAAATAAAAACATAAAGAATATACAAAATATGTTACACGTAATAAAAATCATATAAGTTACATAATTTATATAATATTATAAAAATATTTTTTATGTAATAACAAAAATACATCTATTAGGAGTATCTATAAGTAATGTCGTTTTTTTCGAATTGTGCAAACATTGCCACTTTATTCGTGAACGTGATTTATAATTACATAACTTATAT